CTAGACCACCTACTGCTCTGCTACTAAAATGGATTTGAGATGGTGGTGTTAGTACATACAACCCTCTATCATTCAGGGCCCAGATTATCTTAATGAACATCTGTCCCTTCAACACATTATCAGTCCTGCTGTCCATGCTAGGGATTGGATTTTTGGGGTTTTTTAGACTATAAATCCCATAGTTCTCTATTCTGGGAGTTCTACTTGACAGAGACATTTTAAAAACACCTAAATGTGGCTCACCTGGGATAAAGGCTGAAATTGGAAGGTTTTGAGGCCTGGCTAGACCTGCCTCAGCCCAAGCTTCATATTCCTGCTCCAATGCTAGCTTGGTGCTTTCTGCCTAAACACATTATTTTGTGGCTAGAAAAGTAGAAGTACTGTACATAGTGCAAAATCTAGTTTTTAATTTAAATCAATGCATGTTAATGAAGAAATACATTGCCAAACAGTATTTGGGTGCTAGACATCTTTGCACTGAAAATAAATCTTAACTGCTACAAGCCACTACTGGCTAAAATACTGGTTCCCAGTCACTGAGTCCTCAGATGTTGTATTCTCGAAGGCTTTCACAGCCAGGATCCGATGGTTGTTGTAGGTTTTTTGGGCTGTTTGGCTGTGCTCTGGAGGTTTTTCTTCCTAAAAAGGAGTTCTAACTCCTGTGAAAATGCCAGCTACAGAGACTAGCGAAATGTTAGAAAGAAAATCCTCCAGAACACATACAAACAGCCTGAAAAACCCACAGCAACCACTCAGATGTTGTTGGACTCTAATTCTCAAAACCCCTGACAACTGATCGTTCTGACTGATGTTTGTGGGAGATTATGACAAATAACATCTAAGGACCACAAGTTTGGGAACCACAAATGCCCCTAGAAGTTACCCAACAATATTTAAAAAGGCCATCCCCGTTAACCAAATCAAAGGCCTTTGTGAGCTACAAATTGTCTTTTTTGCAGAGTATAACTTTTTACCCTATGCAGTCCTCACGTTGTATATCTCTGTGATGTTCTGGTGGCTTTTCTCTGCCACCAGAGAATATTTTCATCATAAGATTAATCAGCATACCAACACACAGCACATGCTTGGATCAGTTCATAGAACCCCACCACAAATATCTTCCCAATTCTATAAGAGGACAAATTCTGTATGGTCTCTTCCAGATACTTAGTCACAACACTGACTAAATTTTTACAAAGTAGTCCTGCCATGGAGCCCAAGATGAGGTAATCAGCAAGTAACATCATTTAGCATCCATTCTCAATTTTGCCCAATATAATGCCTTCTACAGTCTCAGAAACAATACTGATATCTTCAAAAATGTACGTGCACTGTAAATGTTAAAGGAGGTGACAAAGGAAGAGCTATTGTCATGAACAAAATGAGTTACATACAGGAGGCCAATAAATAATTGTCATCTCACAAACCCTTACCCCACCCTGCCTCTTTCTCCCCCGATTCAGGGACCTGAGCTGGCTTACAAAATACTACAGTATATTTTTCCATGTATAAGAGTATACTTTTGTCTAAAATCTTTAGACTAAAAATTGAGGGTTGTCTTATACACAGAAGTAAGCTGAGGAGAGAAAACAACAAGTGGATGGTGAAAGAAGGGATCAAAGTGATCCTGCAGGGCTTTGATCCCTTTCCCTGTACACTTGCTAAGCCCCACTTAGATTTCTTAATTTGGGGTTAGAAAAGTGGGGATGGGAGTCTTATACATGGGGGTGTCTTATACACGGAAAATATGGGAAAATGTGGTTGATACATAAATTAAACTATTTTAAAGGTTATGGAAGAAAAATACTTTTAAATTTAAAACTGCTTAAAAACAAAAAGGCACAAAAGTAGATATATTAAAAAATAGTTTGAAGAAGAAAAGTGCAACATCCCCTAATGGAAGCTATTCCTGCAGTCCAGTCAGAGGCCAAAAGCTTGACTGAAGAGAAAAGTCTTCGTCCGCCAGATCAAGGACAGGAGGGAGGGGCAAATGTAGCCTTCTGTGCAAAAGTGTTCCAAATTGTGGAGACACCACTGGAAAGGCCCTCACCCAATGAGCCTGTGCCACCAAAAGTGCCTTCCACAAAGATCTGTAAATAGGGGCCCTTGAAATAGCCTGGATCTAAGCCATACAGGGTTTTACAGGTCATAACCAGCACTTTGAACTGGGTCTGGAAATGGATAGATAGCCAATGGAGTTGACATAATAATGGAGATTTATGTTTGTCGTAACTTGGTCCTAGTTAACAGGTTGCAGTGTTTTGGACCAGATTAAGTTCCTGAACTCTCTTCAAAGGTAGCCCCACAAAAACATGTTACAGCAATCCAGGCGGCTTATCACTAAGATATGCATCACCATGATGCCCAGTGTGGTGAAGTGGGTAGAGTGATGGACTAGGACTCAGTTCAAATTCCCACTCAGCCATGAAATCTCAATAGGGGGCATGGGACTGGTGAAACTACTCCTTAAATAACTCTTTTACCTCAAAAGCCCTGTTAGGGTCACTCTACATTGGTTCCGAGCTGGATGGTACATAACCGTAGTTCGATCAGACATCTCATGCAAGTGGTGTGTCTGGTAAACTAGTTTAAACTGTGCAACCACACTCCTAGCCACTCCTGAAACCAGGGATCAAGACAGGAAAGCAGCCAACCTACAAATCTGAACTTTTGGGGCAGCAGGATGAGTGTTAAACCCACCCAGCATTGGGTGAATCCCTTGTTCCTGATCTCCTTTCCAACAGAATGGGAAGCCCTCTGTCTTATCTGGATTCAACTGCTATTTGTTCTCTTTTATCTAGACTGTTACAAACATCAGATACTGGGTTATAATCACAACAGTACAGTAAGTATGTAATATTTATAGGAATCCTTTAAATCATTTATTCCTCAACCTGGATATAAATGTAAACTGAGGTAGAATATAGACCTGAGAAGGAAGTTTATTTCAAAAGTCTTAAGGAGAGATGAAACATGATACTTTCTCCATAAAAGGCACAAAACCTATTTTATAACTAGTTCACTGAAGCAGTATATGAACATGAATGCCATATAGCAGTAGTCCCCAACCTTGGGCCTCCAGATGTTATTGGACTTCAACTCCCAGAAATCCTGGCCAGCAGAGGTGGTGGTGAAGGCTTCTGGGAGTTGCAGTCCAAGAACATCTGGAGGCCCAAGGTTGGAGACCACTGTCATATAGGACTTCACAAAGCAAACTGCTTACGAAATAAAAAGTCACTTCTAGAAAAGCTGTTTGCTGCTATTAAAAACCTTCCAATGCACTCTCATCCCCTCCCTAGAATCTTTTCTCGGACTGATGTGAATGTAGAGGTTTGGAGCCTGACCAAATTTCTCTAAGTGGCAACTTACCGGTAATCAGCTGCTTCCCTAGCCAAGGAAGACCTGGTTTAACTCACACCCAAGCACTCACACTGGCTAGTCTGCTAACTGAATGTGGTCTAAACCCTATCTGGAAGTATAATGGTCCGATTGTACACACCAAATCTCCCTCTCTCACATAATTGTTTTTTCCAGGATGTAATTGGCTAAAAAGCCTTTAAGAGGCTGGGCAATCTATCTGTCTGTCACACCACAGTCTGCTGGCAATCTTCCAGAAAATACTATATTAGCTAGCTACCATATATGCTGGGTTCCTGTACAGCAATGCTGTCTAGTAAGATGGAGGACAAGCCCTCAGGCATGTCGTGGCTGCTGCTTATTCAGCAACTGAGATTTATCTGGACTCATGGACAGGAAGCTCTGATGAAGTGCCAGCAGGAGTTACATTATCGTCTACCCCATTGTCAACTTAGCCCAGACCAGTCAGTGCAACTAGTTTTCTATTGCAAACTGCTTTGCAACCATATGGTCGGGAATCTAACCACTGCAGATATATGCTTCCATCTTCTACCCAATGTATACATGGAAAAAAAGGTCTTGTCATACAGGTTGGCAACTTGAGGATTTAAATCAAGCAATTTTCAAACTACCTGCCCAATAAAATGGGGAGGGGGGAAGAAGATCAACAGGACTGGAGGGATACCTGAGGAGGAAACAACAGAACAACCATTGCCACTCTACCTACTGGCTTAAACTATGGATAAAGGCTTTTGATGGCGGGACATGCATTAACCAGGTTATCAGTGAAAACATGTCTGTGTCACCCCGTTTTTTGTTTGTTATTGGCCATCCAGAAGGAGATGGTGACTGGAAAGTTCCGATTCCCTTTCAGTTCCTTCCGACCCAGTGGTCACAATCTCCCACCTACAAGAATTCCTCAAGAGGTTCTGCTCAGTCTCTTGAGACTTAAACAGGAACAAAGGCTTTTCCTTACAATCCATGCTTTATTCAGCCAGTCTGTGCCAGAACCCACGCATTGCGCCCACCTGCCCAAGCAACTTGTAGGATCATCTGAGTAATGAAGACCCCCTCCCCCACTTGGTGCATCTAGTGAAGAAGGTTGCAGCCCACGAACACGTCTGCTGGGTAGCCCAGTTTTTAAGATGCTTTTTTGGGGAAGGAGCCCACAAGTGAGCCGAACTTCGCCCCCAACAGAAGGGTTCAGATCAGGACGTGAATCAATGGAGTGGAAACGCCCGGGAACGCAGCAGTGCCCGCAGGCTTCACACATCGTTCCAATGGGGGGCGCTGCAGTCCACCGGCCTCACCTCCTACCAGCTCTCGTCCAACAATCTTCTCGCGCTTGGACAAGAATTTCCCCCCTCACCCATCCTTGGACAGGCTTAGACCCCCCCCCCTTTTTTTTAAACCGGTTCTCCTGTGGATGAGGTAACCGCGCGAACAGTAGAGGGCGCTGCCGGACAGGTCAAGAGCCGGTGGTGCGGAGCGGCGGCGGCGGCGGCGGCAGGGATGCAGCGCGCCAGGGAGGGCAGGCGAGCGAGCGAGCGGGCGCCGTGGGGAGAAAGGGAGGGAGGGGAGGAGGGAGAAAGGGAGGACGGGAGCGTGCGAGGCGCTGATGCTGCAAAGCCGCCCGACTCCCGGCGGGGACCATGAAGCCCACAGCGCGGGAAGAAGCAAGTGGAGAGGCAGCGCTTAGCTTCGCCCGGCCCCGGTAGAGCCCGCGCGCTTGACTATGGCTGGGGGAAGGCGAGGGCTGGTGGCTCCCCAGAATACCTTCCTGGAGAATATCGTGCGGAGGTCCAACGGTGAGGAGGCAGCCCCAGGGTGGCGGAGGTTCCGCGGCTGGGGGGTGGGGTGTCGTGCTCTCAGGACGCGAACCCGAGGTGCCGAAGGAGGGGAGGGGGCAGTATTTGGGCTGGAGTTGTGTGTGTGTGTGTGTGTGTGTATTGGGGGGGAGCTCGTGCTTCCACTGCGGGACGCTTCGTGAGGAGACGCCGGC